TAAGTAGCAGCTGCTCTTGGGAGAGGAGATTATGTGATGATGTCACATATACGACGTGCCGATTTCTGGTGTGTAGTCATGCTAATTACAAACTTTTACAAGCTGATAAATCTCAAAGTACGTGACTGGCGTGGTCAAAACACATATCATAACTTTTCATTTAAATTGCAGTACAACATATGTGTGAATCGATCCAGGCCCTAAGGCAAAGCGGATTAGAAAATATCGTTTTTAGCTCTATTGACTTGCATTCATTTTTTCGTTCTTCTGTAGACCCATGAGCCGACCGGAAAGAGAGGACACTTATAACCAAGCTGTTGGTTTGGAACTTCACCATTCAGAAACTGAATAACAAACAATACTACTAAAAGAATAACAACATACATAATGTTAATAACTTAAAAAAAACGCAGCTTATAAAAAGATTTTCACCTGAAAAACCAGCATGTTGACCTTTTCCGTCTTCAACATAGGACGCTGTGGAATAACGACTGAAAACCAGCTTCCATGAGCGTGTGGCAGACACATGGGTACTTTGGGGCTAGTTGCAACATCTGGGAAAGACTGGCAGCATATTTCCACCAGAAAAGTGTGTTGCCGTCTCTTAACAACATGCTCCAAACAGAAGGCTGCCATTTAAGCTCCTGCTCGCTCCTATGCTGTGCTGACGGAACCTGCATCTTTTGCGGTCATCTTTACCTCATCAGTGGTTACCGACTCCGTTATCTTTTGCTTTGAACCTGGAATACTCCCAAACTGCAGAAGTTGTGTTCGTACAACAAGTGATTTGGTGTCTAAAACAAACTGCCATTTTTTTCCCCGTCTCTCAGGGCGCGTCTCATCGATATCACATTCATAAACTTTATGGAACGTCTGAAAAGTTGAGTAAAACTGAAAATTCAACCATGCATTCATTATATACAGTAAATGACTTTTATTAAGCTTTTTCGTTTTTGAAATCCTCATCCCCTACGTGCAGTGCTTTCTTTCATGGCAGAATTGGCACTGTTGCTATTTTTTAACACTGGCTGTATAAGATATTACCGTAATACCGTCCAGGCCTAGTAAGAACTCTTGCACAAGCTCCTTTTCATTTGTCTGAAGCTCCTTGGTGCAGTCATTGAAAATTAAACAAGTATTTGCAGACTGCACCTAGAAGCATGTAAATATAGCTGAAATGTGTCTAAACGCCATGCTCCTAGTGTTGGTTTTTTTAAATTGAGAAACCTGAATAAGTATTTCACGTTTCTATTTTACAAACAGGATAAAAACACTGTTTGCACCAGGACAGTGACATTGTGTTTGCTCAAAATGAGCAGCAGTGTTCGAGTTTCTTCTGCAGCAAGTTAATGATATTCTGACTACATTGTTAAACAAAATTTACTGTCTGTGTAAAAAAAGGAGGAGAACTTATCTGTTTGACCAGCTTGATGATAAAATATAAAGTTACCCAAACAGCTCAGAGCAGCATCTGACCTTAGATTCTCTCTTTGTGATCATATTGCTGCGGATAAATATCACAGCTCTGCAGTTGTCTGGAGGGAATCGGAGGGTTATAAAATCTGACAGATGATTAATGGGCTTAATTTCAGACAATATGATTTGTCAAACTGCTTTAAAAAACTGTCTTCAAGCATTAACCTTTACCTGACCGTCTGTTAGACCCGTGATATACTTGCAGTTACTAATAACAAGTAAAAAAAAAAAAAAAAAAAGGGTTCCTCAGTGAACTTGCTCTTTAAATGTTGACTTTTAGATTTAGGAACTTTTTATTAACTATTAGCAGTAACAACAATATATCAGGATTAGTTACAAAAAAAACATGCATTGTGAGAATTTAATAAATATTTTACAGATTCATAAACATACAGAGCAATAATATTTAGGAAATCTGATAAAACTAGCTCACTCTGGTGGTTACAACTCCACTTAATGAGAATTTCTGCTTCAGCTGCTTAACTTAGTTGTACATTACTAACCACAGCTCTTCTCACTGCCGTTAAAGGGCCAGGAATAAAACACAAAAGATGGGTTCTGGTAAAAAAAAAAAAAAAAAGTATTTTCCGGACTATAAGCCGCTACTTCTTTCCCACGCTTTGAACCATGCGGCTTATAATGAGGTGCGGCTTTACTGCAGATTTTCCTTCACCTGCAGGGGGCGCTTTAGCAGAAAGTGAAACAGGTGAAAGTCAAAAGTGGAAATCGAAGAAAGTGCTCATTTTAATTTAGCACATGCAAGCAGCCGGCACGACGAAGAATTTTTTTCAAATCCATACCCCCTCATCATGGAAACTACACGTATGAGTTCATATGTTGCCACATTTAAGTTGAAGGCCATCGATCTGGCAGTAAAGGAGGGAAACAGTGCTGCCGCACGTATTAATCCATGGTTCGGCGCTGGAGACGGCAGCGGGATGAACTCATTCAAGCCAGCTTCACCCGGGGATGATGACAGCAACACGGAGAGCGACACTGACATCGCTACAGAAAAGGTATGTGACGAAGCTCTTCTGAGGCTGTTCAACTCCGACACTGAAGATGACTTCAGTGGTTTCAGTGTGCAGGAGGATGATGAATAAACTAATCAATAACTTTTCTGTTTTGTTTGATACTGATTAGTTCAGTTACGTTCTGTTAAACTACGTTTTCAATTCAGTAGATATCCGGTAGATATCTGCGGCTTTTAGCCCGGTGCTGCTTATATAAGTACGTACCATGCTTTTTTTAAAAACTTAGTAGAAGAAGAAGAAAATATCATTTCTATAGCGCCTCTCAAGATAAAAATCACAAGGCACTTAAAGTAGTAGTAGTTGCTGCTTATACTGAGGTGCGCTCTATAGTCTGGAAATTACGGTATAATAATAATTTAAGCAATATACTGTTTAAGGATCTCATGATTAAAAGAAATTGTCCTAAGCCTAGTAAGATGCAACTGCAAATACAAAATAAATTATTTAAAGGTGCATTATGTAGAAATGAAGTAAAAAAATGACATCATGCGGTACAATTTGGCTACTGCAATCACTTCAAACAACTCTTCAGCTTTTTGCCGTCCGTCGTCAAATTAGACTTGTCGGCGCTGCAGTTTTAGCTCACAGGAGACATGACAACCCCACACTCACTGATGGTGAACAGTAGTTACGCCCTTCCTTCTTTTGTTTTGAAATAAGAAAAACTGACAGCTGGATATGAAATATGTTTCAGTATACCCTTCCTTCCAAAATGACTGAAACATTAGACCCTATTGGGATTGTCTCACTGTAAAATTCTCACTATATTCTTACATACTGCACCTTTAAAACATACAAAGAACTTGTCAAAGATCTATGTCAAAAATTGTTTCATTGTTTATACAAAAGTGGTGAATACTACCAATAAAATCACTATTTGCCCTTGATTACGCCAAAGATAAAACTGCTGTCACAGCTGGGAGGTCAGGAGCTTAAACTCAGTACAACTCCTAACTTTAGTAGGTATGCACTAGAATGAATCAGTTCAATAAAAGCAAGGTAAGCACCCTGCTGTGAATTTTTATACCTGGTGTAAATTAGAAGCCATAATTCTGAGATCCTCATAAACTTTTATGCTTTTCCGTGCCCTGCTCTGCTTTTATTTCTTTACATTTTCCTGCCAGATATAATTGACAATCTTGGCTTCCTGAAACCAGATAGCATCTCGCGCACCGAGGGAGTTGTTCAAATTATTTGTGTACAGCAGTGCCTAGAAAGCCTTTAAACTTGAAATGATGATGATAAGGCATTCACTGAAGTGTTAATCTGGCTGAAAACAAAAGAGGTGTTGATAATAAGATTTAGAGCCTGAGGACTGCTAGAGAATATTTGCTTTGTGGGGTGGCGATGAACAAGTGTCTGTAACAGCTCTCCACATCCAACACAACACAGTGAAGATGCCGAAGTGAGAGGTTAGTCCCAGCCGGGTTCATTCCCCGTTTATGTCCCAAAAATAACCCGCCTTAATCCAAGGGGGTCGAACTGAAGTCGCAGTCTTCAGAACAGGTCATTTGATTACGAGCAGATGCCAAGAAGAGTGTAGGCTTCCTCGGAAATAAAAAACAACGTGTAGGTTGACTTGTTGAGCATTTAAAAAAATGATTTACCTTGTCAAATGTTTGACCTAGCCCCTGCCCCCCGCCCTCCTGTGTGTGATGTTGAGATGGTGCAATAAGTGCCACCAGATGGCCAGACAAGCGTGAGTGTGTGTGTTCTGCACAGCATTCCAGCTTGCATTACTACAGTGTCGTGCAAGTCCACCGCGTTCACTCCTGCTGCTCACGTGCAGCTCCTTCTAAAGCCTCTGCTTACAATAGCAGTCCGCCTCAATCGTGTTACACGCCCGTGCAGACTGCTGCAAGTCCACAGACCCACTGCACTTCACCTCAACACTTGCACTTCTTTCTGCAGGGCAGACTCTTGGGTTTGTGAGTTAATCACAGCTCAAAGCACCTTCCTCAAGAGCATCTGGACACCTGAGCTCGGCTGCACCTCACCAGCCTTCTGACCTTTGGTAAATCAGAAGCCAAGCTGGGACCATCCCACCCAGCACACAACACCAGGGGGGAAAACCAACAAAACCGTGACATTAAATAAGGGCAGAGGCTGGTGAGGCGGAGCTTTGGGGTTGTGTGTGAACAAGGAGAAAGGGAGGGGGAAGGGTGCATCAGGGTCAGGAGGTAGAGAGGGCGGGCGGGCGGGGGGGATGATGGCTGTGCGTTTTACAATTCTAGGTAAAGCGAATTAATGAAGTTTCATCAATACTTGGAAAAACTAAAAATTCCTGTTTTGAAGGAAGGATTAAAGAAATAATCCCCTAAAGCTGACATGGTAGAAATCACAACAAACACACCGATTTGACACAGAAATGACACAAATCACCCGATCCACCTGACGACATCTACACGTGTGCTGAAACATCAGACAGCTGTTGTTTTTAAAGCGGATGAGTGAGATGATGGTTGCATCTATGTGTGTGTGTGCTCTTACTTCTTGAAAGCCTCTGTTGGGTTCCTCTCACACTCCCCAGGCTGCAAAGTGTTCTGCACAGATGGATCCTGAACCTTCTCTTCATATCCTGGCACCAGCCCACTACGACAAATTTGAGCCACCAGACCTCGAATGAAACCTCCAACACACAGAGTGTCCGAGTCGTCCGCCCGGCAGAAGTGGAAAGCCAGGCTTTGCTGATGTAAGCTGCGGTGGGATCCCTGGGCTGACGTGGGCCACAACAGCTCCGTGCACAGAGCGGTTTTCCCACTCCCTGGTCCTCCCACCAGCAGCACACCCCAGGAGCTCCCAGACTTCACAGATCCTGCCGTGAGCGTGCTGGGAATGAATGCAACCCCACCAGGCACTGGCTGGGGCAGCTTATTAGGGGGGATGTTCACTCCACTCAGGTTGTTTGTTTTTTCTTGAAGACAATGCTGGATCTTGTGGAAGACCCACTCCCGGCAGTAAAATCGCTTCCCCTGCAGCAAACTGGTTTGGGCCATTTTGAACTGATGCTGTTGCTCCTCCTCTTCATCTGGATGCCCTCATTTTGTCCCACATGTTTTCAGCTCCAGGGGAAGGTCAGCTGTGAATCTGAACATCCATGCTCTCAGCTGCAGGAAAAAAACTGGGAGCAGTTCTGTCTTTGGTGCTGATTCAAAAAAAATATGCTGCACGCAAATGTCACTTGAGTGAAAGCAGGAAAAATAAAGAAGCTTTTCTTCAGATGACAGGAAAAGCAGCTAATCTATGGTGCGTTACAGAATATCTGGGTCAAAATTAAGACGGGGGGAAAAATGAGGAAGATTGACATCAGGGCTCAAACCATAGATTTTCCACCAACTTTTTCCACAGTTTTCCCACTGGCGTGTGCTCCTTGTTATTGTGCACGTGTCGCTTTAGCATGGCGCTGGGTAAGGAGGGGTACCCGGCTGGCACCTACCGGCAAATTCAAGCCACCGTCGCTTGATACAACTAGCCATCGGGGTTCCTGATGTTTTTCCACTGATGCATTTCAGATGCGGCCGACCAGAAGCGCATTTCCATTACATTAACATGGATGAGGCTGCCAGTGCAGTCACTTTCTCCAATAATGGGCTAAACCTGGTTCCTTCTCCTAGACAACAGAATCAACAAAACACAAAATTAAACATTCTGGCATAAAAATTCACAATTAAATGTCTTAGTTTTTCAAGTAGGTGTTTGGAATGACATGAAAAAGGAACATTTTAGTATTATTAGCTCATTTTCTGGCTTCAACGGAATAATTTGAATCAATATATCACTATGAACATTAATAGCAAATACATTTGCAGATAAAAAATAAAGCTGGACTCCTTTTGCAGTTAGATAAAAAAGGTGCGTAAGCTGGTTCTCTATGCTTTCATCCTCCACAACCCACATCACTGCATGCCTGCCAGGCTTGCAACTAAATTCTTGGCAGAGGTTTGTCCAGTTTCTCTAGTCTGTCCACTGATCCCTTCTTCCTTCCTATGAGGCTTTAAATCCCAAACAGTCCACATCCGTCCTGGGCTGTTTGGGGAAAAGTCCCAGAGAGTGGACCCTCTCCTTCCTGCACTTTACTGGGATCGTTTAGATGGGTGGAAGTGAGGGGTAACATTGGTTTAACTGCTTTTTGAGGAAACTCAATAAAAACTTTATTCTAATCTAGATGACACAGCCACTGACAGATTACATTAAGAGTGGAAATTCACGTTTAGATGTTTATGCTTAAATGCAAATAACCTATTTGACAAGTAAAAATAAAACACACACACACAGGTTATTTGTAACGTTGTCAAATAATAAGGATTTCCACAGGCTGCAAGAATCCATTCCCACCTTTCTGTTGATCTAAGGCGCTCCTGCCTCCCAGAAAACACAAAGCTCTCTGTAAATCTCTTCAGCAATTCAAGGCTCAGTTGTTACAGAATGAAAAGCGGCCAGAAATAACAATTATGCGAGCAAACGACGCGAATCCTCCACTCTTAGGGTGCCAAGTCTTTGCATGGCCATACAAACCTCACCCATTTTCACACAGGATACGATTTACACCTATGGTGGCTTTTAAACCCCCGACCAGACTGCCTGACTGCATGCTTTCAGATGAAATAAACCCCAAACAGGCTGTTGTTTCTACACAGACAGCCGCAAACTCTCCCTTCAACTTCAATGTAACCAGTTGTGGAGCGTTTCACTGTTTTCACCCCTGTTTCAACCGTCTGCACCAACCACAACCTGTTTTCAGCTCACCTCTTTTCCGTTTCCTTTCCGCTGTTTTTGGGGTGTGTAGCTTTGTCCGTCCGTCACCCTCTCCGTTCGCGTTAAAACCGAACGTACAGAACCCCCTTTCGACTGTTTCTAGTAACGGAATTCAAATCCCGGTTCCGTACACTGAAGCAGCTCGTATCTTTCTTTGAATCGGTCCTTTCTGTCGGGGTCGGCTCCTCCCGCTGCCCCACACAGCTCCACATCGAGCCGTCTGACGGACTCTCTCCGCCCGCCTCCAAACACTCCACATGAATCGTCCTCCTCACTGCATGCAAAGCACACGCCAACGGACGGCGCACGGCATTGTGGGACTTGAAGTTTTAACCTCATGTTCTACTTTACTGGATTTGATGAGGGTAATTTCTGATTTTATGGATCAAAATATTGTTGGAGATTCATTTTGTCGCAGATTATCCGTTAACCCTCTAATAGGAGAAATAATGTTGCCATTTGTTACAAGTAAGGAGCTGCTTCCACACACTATTAACTTATAACTACTATGTTGTGATTGTATTTTTGTCAGCTATTATTTCATTATGTCCAGCATAAACTTGTGTGTAATATATGCGCTCCAATAGTAGCTTATTCGATTTAAATTGTTAAGTTATGGGAATTTCCATAAAAACAAGCATCGTCTTATTTATTAATTCAAAGTCCAGCATTTCTTGAAGGACTGACTATCATTCGCCTCCTTTCATGTCAGTTTAAACCAAAATCTATCTTGTGCAAAGAAAGCATGTAGTTGCTGTCATTTTGTCAGATCTTGATAATAAAATCATGCTGAATTTGATAAGTTGTGAGTAACTCTACCGCCAATCAAGCAAATCAGTGACAAAAGACAGCCTTCACGGATTTCAACTGTCACCGGAAACAAACCTGACTTACTGCTTTGCTGTCAACTTTTGTAAATGTGTAAAGGTGATCAATTTTTGGGTCAAACAATATGCTTAATTTAGTATTTTTATTTATTTATTCATAGACGTACAGTGGGGAAAATGTGTCTAATGACTAAGTGATTTTTTTTACTAAAACGTTTAGTAAAGTAGTGTAAAAGAGAAATGTAAACACAAAATTATTGCTTGGAATAAATGTATCTATATTTTAAACAGAACTTTTCTAAATACTTCTTTGTGTAGACAATATTTAGCCTTCAGCCATAACACACCTTTCAAAAAGGGTTTCCTTCAGTCACTGAAAACTATTAATCATCAAGCATTGAGTTGTGAGCAGAGATGAAAACAAGCCCAGGTGGCTTCCCTTCATGGTTGAGCCATTAATTGTGCTTCAGACATCACAGATGACACACCAGATGTTGTCATTGTCAGTGAGCAGAAGCCAGGTGTGTGTTTTGGAAATTTGCTCTTGACGTGAGGAGGCATTTTTATTTGGCAGTCTTAGAGCAGCTTTCACATTTGGTACACATGAAACAAATAAAAGCAAAATAGAACACTTTCCAAACACACGGGGTGTCTTACAAGGCTTTGCCATGTCCGAATTTTTATTTTTGTTTTGTTTTCATGTTGCTACTGAAGCCCCAACATGATGCTGTTTTTGTCAGATACATTAAAATTGTTATACCATACCATACCATACCATTTTATTTATAAAGCGCATTCAACAAGGCATTACAACCAAACAAGGCACTGTACACTAAAAATGTTAGTTAATTAAACCGGCGTCAGACCGTCATGTAGAACACAGATAAAAGATAAAAAGGAAAAACAACAAAATTCCTAGAACTAACTGTTAAAAATCAATAAAACACAGGGACAATATAAAAAATAAGAAAACATTTTAAAAAGAACCCCAATAATACGGAAGTTGATATTGTGAATTCCATTTTTAAACAATGTAGTTGTAAGTGAGGTTCATAATTATGTGGTATACACTAGGTTGAAGTAGTGAGTTTTCAAGCGTGATTTAAAAATGCTAGCTGTTGGTGCTAGCCTCACTAGTAGTGGTAATGTGTTCCACAGCTTCGGTGCACAGACAAAGCCCTTTCTCCACGGCTTTTTAAACGTGCATTCGGAACAGCTAGGAGGAGCTTATCTTCAGCTGAGTTCTGGACCAGCTGAAGTCTAGAAAGAGCTGCTTTACTGATGCCGTATAAGCAGGAGTTAGAGTAATCCAGCCTTGAAGTGATAAAAGTGTGGACCACCGATTTCAGAAGACGGACACTCAGGATGTGCTTTAGTTTCGAGATGCGTCTTAGTTGGTAAAAACATGATTTAACTGTGTTATTGACCTGGGCATCCATCTTCAGAGCCTGGTCCATTTTTACTCCAAGGTTGGAGATTACAGAGGATACATTAGGTGAGAGATAGTTGAGGTCAGGTTGATGAGTAGTCGTGGTACTGTTAGGACTGAAAACGATTAAGTCAGTCTTGGAGTCATTAAGATGGAGGAAGTTATCAGCAAGCCATTGCTTGACCTCAAGGATACAATCAGACAGAACTTTCGTTGATTGAGTTGGCTTAAATGAAAAATAGATTTGACAGTCGTCAGCGTAAAGATGGTATGAGACAGCGTGCTTTCTGAAAATGGCTCCTAAGGGCAGTATATAGAGGTTGAACAGTAACGGGCCGAGACGTTATATGAGTCACGTTTCAAACAGAAACTTCAAGAAAGTTTGTCTCCCAGAGTTGTATTTCCTTCCAGCAGGGACCCACATCAGGCTTTTAGTTGGATGTGTTTTGATCTCATTTAAAGCTGCTGATCTTACAACTTGTTTACCAGCCTTTGAAGAAATTTCTCAGGGATGTAACTTTAAGATGGTGCAGCCGCAGGTTGTAATAATCGATGGAGTGTTTCCGGCTCGCGCTTGCTGTGCTGACAAAGATAATTCAGTCTGCTGTTGAAGTCAGGTGTGCCACTTCAGATCAGATTTCCTATAGGAGCCCAATTTCAGGGTTAGGCATTACACATCAGATTGCCTGGGGAAAGGCTACGGCCAGCTGAGGATGCAGAAAAACGCAGGTGAAAACAAGGTCAGGCTAAAGGGAAGGAAACATGACACAAAGATCATGAAGACTGAAACAGCACTGTAGTTTGGAGATTTTATGGAAGAGAGAATGTCTCTAACATCATCATTATTGACTTTTTTTACATCAAGTAAAACAACAAATAATCTTTAGAAGAAAAAAGGCTAGCAGACAAATGTGTTTAGTCATTTACAAAGCGTTACAGCTCAACGTATGTTTCCAGAAGAAGTGCAATTAAAATGTTAAAAAGTAAAACATGAAACAATTGTTTGAAAATCATTTGTAGCCAATTTTCCCAAAAGTCCATCCATCCATTTTCTGAACCCGCTTGTCCACGTAGGGTTGCGGGGGGGCTGGTGCCTATCTCCAGCGGTCAATGGGCAATCAGGCAGGGTACACCCTGGACAGAGAGCCAGTCCATCACAGGGCAACACAGAGACACACAGGACAAACAATCATGCACACACACACTCACATCTAGGGACAATTTAGACAGACCAATTAACCTAACAGTCATGTTTTTGGACTGTGGGAGGAAGCCGGAGTACCCGGAGAGAACCCACGCACAGGGAGAACATGCAAACTCCATGCAGAAAGATCCCAGGCCGGGAAGCGAACCCAGGACCTTCTAGCTGCAAGGCAACAGCTCTAACCACTGAGCCACTGCGCAGCCCTTTTCCCAAAAGTATAACAATAAATAAATAAATAAATAAAAATAAATCACAATGTTGAAAGCAAACAAATATATAGATTTTAAAAAGACATTTTTGGGGTTGACTGTGACCAGAGTATTGCAGGTTTGAGTCTCGATCAGTTTGTCACAGTGTGTCTTTGGGGGGGGGGGGGGGGGGGGGGGTGCCCATGTACAGCAGCCTTGCATCTGTCAGTGTGGATGAATGACTGATTGTGACTCATAAGGAAATCTGACTGAATTTAGGTCTTTAATTCTAACAACACAGATAAAAATGCTACTGTGCTCCATTACCACTCTAACAAAATTCTAAATCTAATTATCAAAACTGTTAATGTTCGTTAATTATCATTTTTGCAGGTCAATGGTTTGGAGCCTTTTCGATCAGTAGAGCTCCAAATAGGATAAAACTTGGTGTTGAAGAGGAGAGCAAGACCCAAAAGCTGATAAAATACTCAATGTGGGAAGCATTGCTTTATTAACTACAGAAGATAAAGGGATAAAAACAAATGACAAAAGTACAAGAGTTACAAAATGAAGATCCACAGACAAGAGGAAGACAAACATCAGCTCACAAACAAGATCATAAAGTATTCAACCAAAGGAAAGATAACAAATGAGGCAATGCAGATAAAGTAAATAGCAACAAAGTACATGACTCAAGGCACAGAGTGCATAAAACTCTGGAAACAAAACCAGAAGGACTTATTATGATGAATACAACATAAAATCAAGATTATCTTCAACAAATTCACAAACTAGGGAATATGATCAAAGAAGACAACAATGAAGAACATCAAACATAAGAAAACCCAAAGAAAATGTCAGTCCATGTGTAAAGAACTGCTAAAGATTTTATTTTAAAGTTGATGAATAAAAAAAACTTGGGATATGACTTAATTGACTTGAGAGAAATGGAAACGTGTTACATGAAGACAACACAACGATCAGATTCCCAATGTATGGAAGGGAAGAAAATCTGCACTTTTGGTTTCATTCTGCTGGTGACATGAAGCAGAAAAACTACTGAAGTACCCCCAGTGATCGATGAAGGACAAGTAGAAATACTTTCCAAACAAACCACAAATCTTCCTCCAATAATCAACCTTAATGATCAGCTCTCCCTCAATCAATAAACTAAAGGAAGATTTACAGAGAAGTCCATTGCCTTTGACCTCATCATATGAATATTGGAGAGCTGCAGTATATTTTATTATCGAGTTCAAAAATCAGTTTTTCACATAATTTTTTTTACAAAAGGAAACAGACACAACATGTTAATCTTACATAGTAATCTTGAATCTGCCAGGCTTAACCATTTAAATCATTTTAAAGCCTTTAACAAGTAATTCAATTATCTTGTTTGCATTTTCAAACACAGCTGGGGAAAAAACTTAACAATATTGCTTTTTTTAATAATCGTGAGGTAAGTTCAGTGCAACTAAATAAATTAGACAAAAATTGTGTGTAAGACTACTAGAATAAAAAATACCATTTACTGTTTCATTTTAAACAGAAATAAATAGAAAAAGATCATAAAAATTCTTCAGTTTTTGATCCACTGCTGTGGTAGTAATCCCCTC